TTTTCTGTGAAGAAGCAGAATTAGAAACAAAATGACTTTTTGTTATTCCATTATGATACCAACTCAATATTTACCCTTTGAAAAAAGGGACTAGAACACCTCTTTTCCCCACCTCCAAACTCAACACCCATGAATATTCTGAAAACATTCTCATGTAGGGATGGATGAAAAACTTTTAAAAATTGAGTGCTACAGACCTACAGAAAACATCAATTAAATACCAAGTACAATGGTTCTCAATGTTTTCTGTGGTTCAGCGGTGCCTAGAGCAGTGCTTATGCTTTCTACCATTGTGTTCACTGAAGGAAAACAAAGCTTATGCTAGATAAAAACAAATATTTCTAGTTCCTCCCTACCCCTTTTCACTCAATTAAAAAAAATTTTTTTTTTGAGGGAAAAAGTACTATGTATATTTGGCCTGGAAGTCCACACCATAGGACCACAGATGAAGCCAACATAAGGACTTTTGATCATTAAGTAACTACTTGGAAGGAATGTAATTTTTTCTATGTGGTATATTAGAAAGCACACTGGAGTGGTGGGGGATGGGGGGAGAGAGAGAGAATCTGCATTTAAATCCTATCTGTGAAAGACCCTGGGCAAATCACTCAATCTCTCTGTACCTCAGTTTCCTCATCTATAAAGCGAAGGGGTTGAATTATATAACATCTAAAGTTTCTTCCAGTTTTAGTCCTATATTTCAAGTTATTTGTTGCAAGTGCTTTTTTCTTTTTTTGAATGCCATGTCACACTGCTTTGCATCTCTTAAATTCCTAGACTTGTTTTCCCCCACACTAATTGTTAATTAGCTGTGCTGCCACTATCCTGTACTTTTACAATTGACTTTAAGAATCCAGGACTATGACTTTACATTTTACATTTACATTTATAGGCCTATTACATTTTATCTCATTAGATTTGGCCTATCATTCTAGTCCCCTGAGATCTTTTTGATTCCCATTGTCATAAAATGTGTTAGCTAGCCCTCTAAACTTTATGCCAAATAGCACTAAACTAATAATGTCAGATTGCTGGGTCATTCCATTAGAAAATTCCTTGCTAGCTGAAATGGATCTATTAAAGACTACTCTGGGTTCTATTATTCAGCCAACTCTGATCCGCTTAATTGCACTATCACTTAGCCTACATCTTGCTACAGGGAGAATATGACAGATTTTATCAAATGTTTATAGAAATGCAGGGGCATTACGATTTAACTTTCCCGTGCTCTGCCTAAGAAAATCAGCAAATTAAAAACAAAAACAGAACCAAGGTTAGTTTGGCTTTTAATAATTATCACATTCCTTTAACAAACTGTCCTTTTACATAATACATATTAAGATTTTGTCAGGAATCAAAGACAAGTTTATTGTCCTATCTTTTGAAGATTTTTTTTTTTTTAGAATTTTGGAACAATATTTGCTTTTCTCTAGTCCAAAGGTGGTAGCTATGTGGCCCAGTAGATAGAGTGTCAGGCCTGAAGTCAGAAGACTCATCTTGCTGAGCTCAAATCTGGCCTCAGACACTTAACTAGCTGTGTGACCCTGGGCAAGTCACTTAACCCTATTTGCCTCAGTTTCCTCATCTATAAAATTAGCTGGAGAAGAAAATAGCAAACCACTCCAGTATCTTTGCCAAGAAAACCCCAAAGGGGTCACAGAGTCAGGTATGACTGAAAAAACGAACTGAAAAGTCCAATGGTACCTTTTCTGGTTTCCACAATTTTTCCTCCCTTTCCACCCCCCCAACCTAAAGAGCCACCTTTTGTAACAAAGAATAAGAGAAAAAAGTAGAGCAGCAAAACAAACCCATACATCAACCAAGTCTGATAATATATGTAGTTGTTACACACTCATGGTCCCCTGCTTCTCCAAAGAATAAAAGCAGATGTATTCTCTTATCTCTTCTTACAGGTCAAACTTGGTAAATAGCTCTAGAGCATTCAGGTTCCATTTTTTTCCCTTCCATTTTCATTGTAGTTACTGTTATACTAATTCTATTTCCTTTAGTTTAGATCTGTTCCTACAAATTTTCCCACGTTTCTCAGTATGTTCTATATTCATAAGTCCTTATAATAAAGTAACATTCTATTTCACTTACCTGTACTATATTATACTATACTATCCATTCAACTATACTATCCATTCCCCAACTGAAGGATTTCTACTTTTCCTTTCTTTTCTTTGCTATTATACAAAGTGCTACTATAAATGTCTTAGTATGTATCTCCATAATTTTTTGAAGGTCATTAACAATGGCTTGGAAACCATAATGGTCAGATCTTTTAGCATCCTTGGACATAGTTTTTTTAAGCTAGCCTGGTGATCTGAATTGAGAAGCAGCTTATTTTCACTTAACTTTTATTTTAGCTCCCTATAAACCATTTTTGCTCAACTCTTGCTTTTCAATTTGCATTTCCAGTGCTTAGCATAATGCTTTGCACATAGTTAAGGAATATTTTTGCATTCATTCATTCATTCATCTTTGGACTAGGAGACCAAATCAATCAATATTTAAAGAAAACTCAGACTATTCATTTGAAGGTCAAATACTGAAGCTCAAATTTAAATACTTTGGCCACATAATGAGGACTCACTGGAAAAGACCCTGGTATTGGGAAAGAATGAAGGCAAAAGGAAAACAGGATGGCAGAAGATGAGATGGATAGTGTCATGGAAGCAATAAACATGAGTTTGGACTTCAGGAGATGGTAGAGGATAGAAGGGCCTGGGTGTGATATAGTCTATGGAATCATGAAGAGTTAGCCATGACTGAACAAACCAAGGGGAGATCTATGACTGGTTTTATTTTCCCTTTGCAACCAACAGAGCTGAATCTTCCTTTTAATGTTCCTAGCATTTATCCATAGCCTCTGTCGTGAGGTTCAGTGTTCATTATTATTCATATAGGACCTAATTGTATTTCTGTACTCAGCTTCCTTTATCGTTACTTCCTTAAATACTTATCCTTTTGAAAGCTCTACTATCTTTTCTTTTCAGAATAATTTTTGTTCATGTTATCAGAACTTTTGAATTTCCCATTCCTCATGAGCTCTACCTCATAACATTTAAGCAAAAGAATCTTGTGAATCCTTTCATTGAACTCTTTAAAAAATCACCTCTACTAAAACCTAAGTTTTATGTCATAGTGTTCACTGTATCTAAAATGGAGCGATCACTTTTTCCAAAGCTTCCATCATTTCTATGCTTTAGGAACCAGTTTCTCAGGCCCAGAATAGCAGTTCCCTTTGTCACCTCCTCCACCTTTTGAAGAATAAAATCAATATTAAGGCATATCGATAATTTTTCGGTTGCTTGGCTTTTGGTAGAGAGGTCTGACAGTAAATATATAGATAACATCTCCCCCATCATTCATATCTGTGCCAATTTTGTGAACCCTTTCCTTCCTTTTGGTTAAGTGGTCAGTAGTACATTCACACCACACTAGTGCTTGCTTCTCCCTAAATTTTTCCTTACCTGCTCTTTCATACTGACTCCTACTACTTGGATTTGATCACAAGTATGTTCTTGATATAGAATTCTACTATATGGTTATTCTCATCTAATGCAATTTATCCTTATCTAGTTTTAGTTGTTTTCATGTTTTTTTTTTCTATTAGATTATAAGCTCCTTGAGGACAGAGACTTTTTTTTGTTTATATCCCTAGCACTTAGCACAGTTCCTGACATACAGAAGGCACTTAATAAATGCTTGATTACTTGTTTTATTATCTATGTTTTATGCATAGGTACTAGAGGCCATTTTACAAACTCCCTTCTTGTTTATCATTATCTGTGAATTACTGGCCTTTGCATCTTTTTCTTATGGCACACCCTCTCCCTCTAGGCTATTTGGCTTAGTAGATAAATGTAGCCAGTCTTCTCTTTTCTTCGTTTATAGTTTGAAGCCCAATTGATCAGATTCACAAATGTCCAGGAAAATATATTTTCATTGGCCCTCACTTGGTAGATTCCATCCCTGGCCAAGGGCCCATCATCCCAGTATTTTAAAAGAAATAGTGGTACAGAAAGATAAATTCTTCTCTGGCACCATCTCAATCAGCTGTTCACATTCCAAATATGTGATCTCTTCTGAACCCTTTCAATTCATTAAATAGATGAAATAAACGCAAATACTTTCTGTACCTCCTAAAGTTTTCTTCTCCAGGATCCCATAATCACTAGCAATGCTTTCTGGGTTCCTTTCAGTGGTATCTTTTGTTTCTACATAAATCATCATCAGTGGTGGGTATAGTTTGTCTGCAACTTTGCTCTTTCTACCTTACAGGGTTATTGTGAAAAGAAATAACATATGAAAGCATTTTATGAAGTGGAAAGTCTTATACAAATATAAAGCACATAAAAAGGTGTTCTAGTAATTTTTAGTAGCTTGTATAAGAAGTCTGGTACAAATTGTAGGTAGCTAAAACATTAGCAAAAGAATATTTATTGAGCAAAAATAAAAATAAGTTACAATAATCTTATCAATGATATAGCTATTTTTTAAGTTTTAGATAACTTCCTAACAATGGAACTGTATATAAAAAAAGAAACCAATTTCAGGACCCCAGACAGAATTCTGACAGAATTTTCCTTTTAGAGAATGCTGACAAATACGTGGAGAGAAGACTACACTGTGTAGCCAGAGGTTCACAGGTTCAGAGCTAGAAGGAGATTTAAGGAATCTTATAAAGCAGTTTGCACCAGGCAGTGCACTCAGTTAACATATTGGAGATGAATGCTATGTAAAACTTAATAAAAATTTATATGACCATTAAACTAATAGTGCCTCAGTAAAACTAGGAAACTGGGGGTTGTTGGAGGCAAAGAAATTGGTTTTGGATGACCTTAAAATATAATGTTTCCTTTTAAGAAACAACAAGAAGCTAATTAAAAGGTTAGCATAGATGGTCTACACTGGATACTTGAACTACAGGCTCAATCAGCTTTCCAGTGACCTAAGTACTGATATGCCTAGAACAAATGATTGTCAGACAAAAATAATTTCAAAGACATTTTATTCAAAATTCTCCTGCCTGGAAAAACAAGATATACGACATAGAATCTGCACATGCTCTAATAACTTATTTCACTGTACATTATATATTCTATACAGACAACCCAGCATTTGAACAACAATCCAGCATTTAAATTAAGAATCAAGGCTTTGAGTGAGCTATGGGACACTGTAGTTTGTAGTGTCTATTGATTATTCAAAGCTCTGAGCTATAGTGCATTATGTATTTAAATCAATGTTCTGCCTGAAAATCAAGATTCTCATAGCTGTTATTTGTGGTGAGAAAAAGCTGCTAACCTTAAAACAAGATGAATCTTTTTGGGTATAATGTTCTTGGAAAGGAAAGTCTACATAAACATTATCCTTTTATTTCTTTTCTAAATATTAATTCTTTTCACTATTTCTAGTACAATTTAAAATGGAAAGATTTTCTTGGGCACTGGCACAGTGTTCATGCCAACAATATTCTTCTGAATATAAAAACATGTTAATTGTATATCTAACAGTAGGGTCCAAAATATGAAGGGAATCAAACAATATCCAAATTCTGTCAAAGTAGTACCTATTCTTTAGGATGAAGATATCCTGAATATGTAGAATGTGGAAAGCATTCCCAATTAGGTATGATGAACTTAAATGTGGCATAAGATTATCCTTTCCAGTATATGCAATTTAAAAATGTATACTTTATCTCCTTTTCAATTAAATTTTTCCACTTTTTAAACTGGAAAAATGGTCTCAAAAGGAAAAACAATTACTTTATGAGGCAAGGGAATCTCCCACAATGCCCTTTAAGAAAAATTACAATAAAGGGCTTTCTAAGAATAATAATTAAAGTATTATTGGAGATCCAAACAGCAATACAATTGTGCATGATGACACCTTTGGGCTCTGGGATAACAATAAAGGCAAAGAAAATGGTAGCACCACAAAGCTAATATTTCAATGACTCTAATATAAATCATAAACTGGCAAAATCCCAAGTCCTCTAAAGCAATTCTATCATCCATTTAAAGTTGTTAGTCAGAATGCTTCTTACAAAAAAAGAAAACTCAACCACTCTAAAAAAAAAATGGAACAGCAAAAAATACTTCTTGCTTTTCCCCATTTGATCCAGAAAAAATACAAAACTCTTATGAATTTGGCTTCAAAAGTATAAGCAGGTAGAAAGAAACAGCTCTTAGTGATCAAAAAGGTTTCTACTAATGCATTTTGACACAACTTTTTACAATTTCAGAGCTACAGTGATTGCAAAATCAGATCAATATAAGCATATACAAAGGGAAAATTAAATTATTTTTTGAACATTTTATATTCTCCCTCAAACTTTCAAGGAGGAAAAGACATAAATGTTTTTAGTCTGGCTCTTAACAAAGAAAAATGCTTTATTGAAAAAGTTCATAAGAGCAATTTAAATGTAAATTTCAAATACCCATATTTTGTTCATAGTTCAATTAGCCTGGACAACAGAATGAGAAATATAGGGTAGTCCACTACAATCAGGGAGTCTGAATGTTATTTGGTGTTTCAATAAAGTTTAAGGACTAAGTTTTAAAGTAGCATCTAACCATCATATAGTTTTAATAATTGCTTGATCAGTATTTTTATTTCTAAAGTTTAAATTATGTTCACCTTTCCCTTTTGTTCTATAAATGATTCTGGTAAACTGCTTGGATTTTCAAATAGTTGATCTACAGAATACAAAGTATTATAGCAACCTAACACCCCTATCCCCCCGAAAAATAATTTGGAAAACAATTAAAGAACTTCTCAAAAGTTAACACAAAACCTTCTGAGATGAATTTAAATCAAATATTTGTAAGGTTCTGAAGATAGCAGCTATGGTCAAATTTATGTATCACCCTAACATTAAAGAATATTTACTGTAATTGTAAACAAAAGGCTATTCCAAAAAAAAGTGCACGTCAAAAAGGTACCCATTTGTAATGATATACCTGATAAAGTAATTATAAAATACTTTATCTCATAAAGACTGTAGTATCATAATTTTCAGCTCAAAGCAGAGTAGAGCTTTGGAAGCATGACCAAAACAATGATGTTTTTCATAACACTAATTTTCTCTGAGCAGCACTCACTAGTATGATGAAATATACTTAAAAGGTTACACTTTTAAAATGTCATTAGCACATCCCGTTCTTGCACACTAGTGTAGAAAGGTCTTCCAAAGATAAACGAGTGTAGGCCTGGTTTGATTTTCTCAGCTAAAGCCATTATTATGTTAAGATCGCCCTCTGCTGTTAAATCGAGATCTGTCTTCAAGTTTCGGAGAGATTTAAATGGCTTTTTTCCCTTCTGCCTGAAAATTATAAGGAAAAATCCAGTTACATTATAGAAAATGCTCACCTGAAAAAAGTGTAAATTTATCCTCATTCTACCAGAAGTTTTACTTACGTATCATCCTCTATGTATTTTATTAGCGTTAAGGCTTTTCTATGAAGGACAAGTAGAAACTGTGCAAGAAAAGTACTTCTCAGAGACAAACCAGGTTTCAAATGAAAGACCTATAGGAAAAACAATGGAATTTTATGAGTGAACAAAGTTACTCTAAAAACTGCCACTTTCATATTTGTTTCTTCCAGAATTCTTTCCATAAATCCATTTCCACCACTTAGTGTGGCCCCATTATTCTTTTGCAGTGACTATGATGGAGTAGTAGTAGAGAAGGTCATAAAAACATTTTTTTGACCATTTATAAGCATTAACTTTAGAACTGGTACTTTAAGCATGAGATCTTTGTCTAAGGACCAACAAATTTATATACTGAAACTAAAACACATCAATATTGACATTCTCATTCTAAAACAGAAAGGCAAAATGCAGTTGCAGATAAATGGATGACAGCTCACACACTCTATGGAGAGGCAAAGAAGTTGGGGGAGCTGGTTTTATTGTGTTCTCAGAGTCAACAAGAAAGACCACTTCAGGGGACATTTGATCAGCTTTTCTTACAGTGCTTATGATAAGCATAAAAAAAATAACACGAAGATAACTGCAGTGTGTTAACCTTTGTTGTAGAGGATGAAGATATAAAAAAAAAATTTCTAATAACTAGTTGGTCAAAATATTAGCAAAAAATGACAGCAACTTATCATGAGAATAATACACTATGACCAAGTAGGATTTATACGAGGAATTCAGGGCTGGTTCAATATTAGGAAAACTATCAGCATAATTGATCATATCAACAAGAAAACTAACAAATCATATGATTATCTCAACAGATGCAGAAAAAGCTTTTGACAAAATACAACACCTATTCCTATTAAAAACACTAGAGTATAGGAATAAATGGAGCCTTCCTTCAAATGGTAAGTATCATCTACCTAAGACCATCAGCAAGCATTATATGTAATGGGGATAAGCTAGAAGCATTTCCAATAATATCAGGGGTGAAACAAGGATGCCCATTATCACCACTGTTATTGAATATGGTACTAGAAACGTCAGCCTAGGGAATAAGAGAAAAGAGAGAAATTGAAGGAATTACAATAGGCAAAGAAGAAACAAAGCTGTCACTCTTTGCGGATAATATGATGATATATTTAGAGAAACCTAGAAAATTAAGTAAAAAAACTACTTGAAATAATAAACAACTTTAGCAAAGTTGCAACTCAATATAGGTTATACATGTGCAGTTATGCAAAACGCTTTCATAGCAGACATGCTGTGAAAAACTAATTCTATTTCCCTTAATCCTATCCTGCCCATTTATTCTATTCTTTTTGACCCTGTCCTTCCTCAGAAGTATTTGCTTCTGATTACCCCCTTTCCCAATCTGCCCTCCTCTCTATCATCCCCCTTCTCTCTTGTCCCCTTCCCCCCCCCTATTTTCCTGTAGGGTAAGACAGATTTCCATACCCAATTGAGTGTGTATCTTATTCCCTTCTTAAGTCAAATCCTATCGGAATAAGATTCACTCATTCCTTCTCACCTTCCTCCTTTTCCCCTCCACTGTAAGAGTCTTTTCTGTTCTTTTTTGTGAGATAATTTACCCCATTTTACCTCTGCCTTTCTCCTTTGTCCTAGTATAATCCTCTCTCACCCTTGAATTTTATTCTCCAGATATGATCCTTTCATCTTCAACTCACCCTGTGTCCTCTATCTATCTATCTATACATACATACATATAATTTTTTCCCTCCAACTACCCTAATACTGACAAAGGTCTCATGAGTTACAAATATTATCTTTTCATGCAGGAATGTAAACAGTTCAACCTTAACGAGTCTCTTATGATTTCTCTTTCCTGTTTACCTCCTCATGTTCCACTTGAGTCTTGTATTTGAAAGTCAAATTTTCTATTCAGCTCTGGTTTTTTCATCAAGAATGCTCGAAAGTCCTCTATTTCACTGAATTACCATTTTTTCCCCTGAAGGATTACACTCAGCTTTGCTGGGTAGGTGATTCTTGGTTGTAATCCTATCTCCTTCGCCCTCCAGAATATTATACTCCATGCCCTGCAATCCTTTAACTTAGAAGCTGTTAAATCTAGTGTTATCTTGATTGTGTTTCCACAATACTTGAATTGTTTCTTTCTGGCAGTTTGTAATATTTTCTCCTTGACCTGGGAACTCTGGAATTTGGCTACAATATTCCTAGGAGTCTTTCTCTGGGGATCTCTTTCAAGAGGAGATTGGTGGATTCTTTCAATTTCTATTTTGCCCTCTGGTTCTAAAATATCAGGGCAGTTTTCCTTGATAATTTCTTGAAAGATGATGTCTAGGCTCTTTTTTTGATCATGGCTTTCAGATAGTCCAATAATTATTAAATTCTCTCTCCTGGATCTATTTTCCAGGTCAGTTGTTTTTCCAATGAGATATTTCACATTGTTTTCTAATTTTTCAATCTTTTGGATTTGTTTTACAGTATCTTGATTTCTCATGAAGTCACTAGCTTCCAATTGCTCTATTCTAATTTTTAAGGAAGTATTTTTTTCAGTAAGCTTTTGGACTTCCTTTTCCATTTGTCCAGTTTTGCTTTTTAGGGCATTATTCTCCTCATTGGCTTTTTGGACCTCTTTTGCCATTTGGGTTAGGCTATTTTTTTAAGGTGTTATTTTCTTCAGTATTTTTTTGGGTCTCCTTTAGCAAGTTGTTGACTTGTTTTTCATGATTTTCTTGCAAAACTCTTAGTTTTTCCTCTACTTCTCTTACTTGCTTCTCAAAATTCCTTTTGAGCTCTTCCAAGGCCTGGGACTGATTCATATTTTTCTTGGAGGCTTTGGATGTAGGAGTTTTGACTTTGTTGTCTTCTTCTGGTTGTATGTTTTGATCTTCTTTGTCACCAAAGTAAGATAATATAGTATGACTCTTTTTGCACTGCTTACTCATGATCCCGGTCAATTACTTGAGTTTTAAACTCTTTGTTAAGGTAAGAGTCTGCTTCCAATTGAAGAACGAACTGTCCTGAGCTTCCGGGGTTTGTACAGCTGTTTTCAGAGATACTTCTAGGGACCTGTAAATTTTCAGTTCTTCCCAGGTGGTATGATAAGGGGCGAGGTGTTTTCTCTCCACCGCCACAACAAGCTCCACCACGCCAGAACTTCTCCTCACCTCAGGACCGCCCCTCAAAACTGTGACCCAGATCCAAGCACGGGCAAAGCAAGAGATTCCTGCCTCAGCCCTGGCAAAGAGATCCCTGCAACCCCCCCGATCAGTCACTCAATTGCCCCTCAGTCTGTGGGCCAGAAGCTCAGGAGGCAGCCGCTGCCCCAGGGGCACGCTCGGGACTTGTGGCTGAGACCTACCCCCTCTCTCTCACTGCAGAAACAGACTTTTCTCACTGACCTTCTAAGTTGTCTTTGGTGTTTGTGGGTTGAGAAGTCTGGAAACCACCACAGCTGCCTGTGATTCAGCCCTCTGAGGCCTCCTTCAGGTTTGCTGTGGCCTGTGTGCCCACGCCAAATTGCGCTCCTCTCCCAGCATTTCTAATATACCTTTCCGATCAACCATCCAGGTTATCTTGGGCTGTAAATTTGTTTCACTCTGTCTTTTTGTGGGTTCTGCTGCTTTAGAATTTGTTTAAAGCCATTTTTTTACAGGTATTTGGAGGGGTTTGGGGGAGAGCTCAAGCAAGTCACTGCTTTCACTCTACCATCTTGGTTCCACCCACCCAGCATTTCTATATATTACTAAGAAACCCCAACAGCAAGTGACAGAAAGAGAAATTCCATTTAAAATTACTGTAGATATTATAAAACATTTGAGAGCTTACCTGCCAAAACAACCCAGGAACTATATGAACACAATTACAAAACACTTCACACAAATAAAGTCAGATCTAAATAACTGGAAAAACATTAGTTACTCGTGGATAGGCTGAGCAAATATAATAAAAGAGATAATTCTACCTAAATTAATTTACTTATTCAATGCCATACCAAACTACCCAAAAATTATTTTGTAGAGCTAGAAAAAATAGTAACAAAATTCATCTGGAAGAACAAAACGTCTAGAATATTGAGGGAATTAATGAAAAGCAATGCAAGGGAAGGTGGCCTAGCCATACCATATCTTAAATTGTATTTAAGATCTTAAATTGTTTTATTAATTGTATTAGCAGCAATCATCAAAACTACTTGGTACTGGTTAAGAAATAGCGTGGTAGATCAATGGAATAGGTTAGGTACACAAGACACAGTAGTAAATGATTATAGTAATCTGTTTGATAAACTGAAAGACTCCAGCTTCTGGGATAAGAACTCACTATTTAGGGGCAGCTAGGTGGCGCAGTGGATAGAGCACTGGCCCTGAAGTCAGAGGTATCTGAGTTCAAATCCGGCCTCAGACCAAACACTTGACACTTACTAGCTGTGTGACCCTGGGCAAGTCACTTAACCCCAACTGCCTAAAAAAAAAAAACAAAAAACTCACTATTTAACAAAAACTGCTGGGAAAACTGGAAAACAGTACGGCAGAAACTAGGCATAGACCAACATCTTACACCGTATACCAAAATAAAGTCAAAATGGGTAAACAATTCAGATATAAAGGCAATACTACAAGCAAACTGGGAGAGCAAGGAATAGTTTATCTGTCAGATTTATGGAGAATGGAAGAATTTATGACCAAACGAGAGAGAGAGAGAAAATGAATAACTTTGATTACATTAAATTTAAAAGGTTTTGTACAAACAAAGCCACTGCAACCAAGATTAGGAGGGAAGCAGAAAACTGGGAGAGAAGTTTTACAACCAGTGTCTCTGACAAAGGCCTCATTTCTAAAATATATAGAGAACTGAGTCAAATTTATAAGAATACAAGTCATTCCCCAATTGACAATTAGTCAAAGGATATGAACAGGAGTTTTTAGATGAAGACATTAGGGCTATCTATAGTCATATGAAAAACTGCTCTAAATCACTATTGGGTAGAGAAATGCAAACCAAAACAACTCTGGGGTACCACATCACACTTATCAGATTGGCTAACATGACAAAACAGGAAAATGATAAATGCTGGAGAAGATGTGGAAAAACTGAAACACTAATGCATTGTTGGTAGAATTGTGAACTGATCCAGCCATTCTATAGAGCAATTTGGAACTATGTACCAAGGGCTATAAAACTGTGCATAGGCTTTGACCCAGCAATACTACTTCTAGAGCTGTATCCCAAAGAGATCATAAAAATGGGAAAAGGACATGTACAAAAATATTTATAGCACCTCTTTTTGTGGTGGCAAAGAATTAGAAATTGAGGGGATGCCCATCAGCTGGGGAATGGCTGAACAAGCTGTAGTATATGAATGTAATGGAATACTATTTTGCTGTAAGAAATGATGAGCAGGCAGACTTCAGAAAAACCTGGAAAGACTTATATGATCTGATGCTGAGTGAAGTGAGCAGAACCAGAATATTGTACACAGGAACAGCCACAGTGTGTGATGACTAACTTTGATAGACTTATCTTTTCTTAGCAATGCAAAGATCTAAGACAACTCCAAAAGACTCATGATGGAAAATGCTGTCCACATCCAGAAAAAGAACTATGGAGTCTGAATGCAGATCAAAGTATATTATTTGTTTTCTCTCTCTTTTTTGTTTCTTCTTTCTCGGTTTCTCCCATTGGTTCTAATTCTTCTTTACAACATGACTAATGTGAAAATAAGTTTAACATGACTGTATATGTTGAGCCTATATCAATTTACATGCTGTCTTGGGGTAGAGGAGAGGAGATATGGGCAGAAAATTTGGAACTCAAAAAAAAAAAAAAAGAAAAAGAACTATGTGGTTTTTAAGATAACCAACTTTTATACCTTGTGACTTTGATATGAAAGCAGGTACAAAAGATCACAGAAAACATTGGAAAATACCACTCGGGTTAGAAAACCATAGAAGCCAAAAAGGATTATAGACTTATTCAGGAAACTTAAGCCCAAGTAACATCAATACTTTCATCCAGAGAGTGATATAAAGCATAGATGTATCAAGTCCTGGATGGAAATATGATCCAATGGAAAAAGCGCTGACTTTGGATTCAGAAGATGTGGCGTTTAAATTTTGTCTTAATACTTACTATCTGTGTGACCCTAGGTAAGTCACTTAACCTCAGTAGGCCTCAGTTTCGTCATCTGTAAAATAAGAGAAATGTACTAGTTGGCTTCTGAGGTCCCTTCCTCCCTTCCAGTTCTATATCTGTGATCCTAAGAACATCACAAAAAATTAAACTATTATCTTAGGTAAGAAATTACTGGTTATTGACTTGGGAGTTATCAGAATCAGTTTTCTGTGAGCAGACTTGTCTGAGCAAAGATAAAAATCAATATCAGATTAGAATGAGAAAGATAAGATGATATTGGGTACAACTGCAACAGCCTTCGCCTGACCTTCATATTTAAATGAACTACTGATGATGAAAAATGTAAAAAGAGATTGTGTCTGATTGTCACCATTCATTGCAGAAATGTAATTGACTATAAAGCAGTCACCAAAAGGAGCAAGTCAAAAGGAACCTAGAAATCCCTATTATTCCTGGTCTTGTCAATTTTAGGTAATTGGTGATTATTAAAGAAGCTACTTTAGTTACAGTAATGGGCTTTACAAAAAAATCTACTAATAGTTTAGATGTGGTAAGGAAAGTTACTAAAATCATATTCTACTATAACCAACAGACATTATTTATTGCCTAAAGTCAATGGCAAAATCACTAATAATTACCTCACCAAACACTTCCAATATTTTGATGGATGTGTATCTCATTAATATATGTACTCCTCCAAAGCACAGAAAGAAATTCAACCTAGTGTGACTTTGTATCATAGGGAGTTTACATAATATCTTGACACTATATGGCTACCAATGGATCATGACAACTGTTTGTTGCATATTCTTTGTTTTTGCTACATAACTGTCACCTCTTTTTTCTTGGCATTAGTCTGTCACTGGAAGATGATATACTTTACACCGCTTTTCTTACACAATTTCTCATTTGGAATATGTTATAGTCTATGCTCATAGTACCTCTACACTGACCTTTGGGAGAAAGATCCTCAATTTTTATTCTCTGAGACTTATATTACATGACTTATAAAAAGATGAGAGAAGCTTGAACGTCATTAGAAACACTACACATTTCGCTAAGGTACTTCAGCATGATCTCCTCTTCTTTGTCTCCATTGCTCATCAGCAGTATATGTATGCTCATCTGCAGTGTATGTATGAAAGTAATCCATGGATTGGACAGCCATGTAGTCTCCAAGCCTTTTTTTTTTTTTTTTTTTGCTAGGCAATGGGGTAAAGTGACTTGCAGCTAGTGTCAAGTGTCTGAGGCTGGATTTGAACTCAGGTCCTCCTGACTCCAGGGCTGGTGCTCTATCCACTGCGCCACCGAGCTGTTCCCAAACCTTTTTGTTTTTTAAAGTATATATCCCTATCAATAAAAAAAGTTTGTGCATGTACTCTATGTATTTTCTTATTCATAAATTATATACATGTACTATTGTATAAAGTACAATGGATCCAAAAGGGCCTCTTATATTCAAGATTTCTTGAATGATATAATAGCAGAAACAAGGCAATAGGCAAAGAGACATTCTTGCGAAATATACCCTCATAATGCCAAGGACATGGAAATGTCGAACATAGAGTCCAAATGGAAGAGGAAGGAGCTCCTGTGGATAACTAGATCCTCCAGATAGCTCTGATTTACATATGACACTGGGCTTACACTGTGCAAACCCTTTAAATGAGATCAGTAATCACTGGAGAGTTAGGCCTAACTATTCACTTGGGAAAAGAAGAGTACAAAAAGGATCAAATGGATTGGGACAAAAGTCATCAACTCTATTGTTCATTTACTCCCACATAATAAAGACAGACACAAGCTGGTATTTTAAATAAAATACCAAATAATGTTCACAGCATAGAAGATTAGCAAATTAATGCCATGAGATTATGTTTATAATTCTGCTGAGATGATTATTTCTTGCTTTTTTGTCTTTTTTTCTCTCTAAAGCCACTACAGTTTATGAGTAAGTCAATAGGTATCTGAATGCCATAAATTTCTAAAGCTGTCAAAAGGACAACAAATAGACTATTTAAAATAACTCTGTAAACATTTTTATAATGATCTATTTTCTTATCAATGACAACTGATCTACAGTTGAATACCTCTGTTCCAATTTTGTGATATGAGGAAAGTGAAATGGTGCTGAAGATAATGAAATCAGGAAGAATGGCTGGACCAGACCAAGTATGCACCAAGGAAATGTACTGGAGGGGATGTAATCTTGAAAGCATTAAGTTAATAGTTTTAAAAGACCTTGCAGTAATGGGGCAGTTGGTGGCGCAGTGGATAGAGCACTGGCCCTGGAGTCAGAAGGACCTAGGTTCAAATCCGGCCTCAGACCAAACACCTGACACTTACTAGCTGTGTGACCTTGGGCAAGTCACTTAACCCCAACTGCCTAAAATTAAAAAAAACAAAAACAAAAAACCTTGCAGTGAAAGGAAAATATTAAAGAAACAGGAGAGTGGGAAGTGGTGAGAAGGACTATATTACTCAATCAACTTAATCAAAAGAACTTTAATAATTACCAACTGACATGCCTTTCTCATTTTGTGAGATTGGTCTACACACACACACACACACACACACACACACACACATATGTATATGTATGTATGTATATATAAGGAATCTTTGAAAATACAAAAGAGAACAGGCAGCTTTTAAAAAGTTTTCTATGATAGACTCTATCTTTTCAGTCAAACAACTGACTATGAGACTTCACTATGTTTGCTTGCTGATTCTGCCCCCAAAATTGATTTGACAGAGCAAAATAGATCCTTTAAAATTCTTCTCCAACAAAGTTTCTGATGCATACTATAATCAGACAAGATTCTTTTATCTTTCTTTGATCCCTAACACTTAGAACAATGCCTGGTATATAGTAGGTGCTTAGTAAGTGTTTGCTGAGTGATTCTCCCATCATCTCTTGCTTCTCTCTTTCTGTCTCTTTCCTCAATCTAATTCAAGCCCTCATGAACTCTTGCCTGGATTACTGTAATAGCCCTGATGGGTCCACTTGCCTCAAGTCTTTCCCTTCTCCAATCCATCCTCCAGAGAGCTGTGAAAGTGAATTTCCTAAAGCACAGATCTGACCAAGTCACTTGTCCGCTTGATAAACTCTAGGTGTTCCCTCTTACGTCTAGGGATAGAATTCAAAGGCATTTAAAACATTTACACTCTGACTCGAACCTTTTTTCCCTTTTTTATGTACTAAATGGTCTAGTTTAACTGGCCTTGATATTCTTCAAACAGAATACTTTTCTTCCATCTCATGCCTTCTCCCACTCCATTGTCTTATTATCTTTTTATTTTGTATATATTTATGTGTGTATATGTTATTTCTCCCCCAAATATGTAAGCTCCTTGAAGACAGGGACAATTTCATTTGTTATCTTTATATTCCCATAACCTATCACAATGCTTGGCCCAAAACAGGTGGTTTAACCAGGCAAAAATCTCTATTTTTTGGGGGGGGGATGGGGACTGGACGTACTTACATGTCTACTTAATTATTTCAATTGAATCAAAAGCCAGTAATTTTTAGCATTATAATCTATAGTTAGTGTGACTATAATTAAAATATATAGCAAAAGATGTGAGAACACCAGTTTTTTCATAATTACTGTATAGATTTTCCAGTAGTACTGAAGAAGAAAATCAGTTTGATGCTATTTAGAAAGAACAACATTAAAAATATGATTTCAGTTTGCAATGGATGATACAATGAAGATAATGGAAGCCTATATTAAATAAGAAAGTACTTTATTCCTGTTGATTTCCAATTCAACTATTACCTGATCCAGGAAGGCTTTTACTAGTGTGTCTCTGTGTAGGACATCTTGAAAAACATTCCTGGGAAGACAGCATAAAGACAGAATATAAATCAGACTGTTAAAAAATGGTAACGAAGAGAAATAGTTCATGGATGGTAGGAAGAGAAAAGAAATCTAGTTTTTAGGAACTTAACTTGAATTATAACTCTGGGACTTATTTCCCATAGAAACTTTCAGGTCAGTTCATTTTCTTCTTTATACTACAGTCAAGTCACTACTTGGATTACTATAACTTGTCTCTGAAAACAGAGACTATCCCTAAAATATAGGCAGTTAATTAAGATAATGATTGGTTCTAACAACCTATAAATAAATTTGCTCACATAAACTAATAACTCTTTATCATCAGGTTTGGGAAGGAAATAATGTGAAATAAGGAGTGCAAAGGAAGATTGACATGGTACTATATAGGACAGGGAACTGAGATTTCTTTAACATAACCTAACTTCAACTATCCCTATATTTCTGTGAGGGTATGTTTGGGGAGTATGATCAACTGATGTATATTATGAAAATTAGAGAGTAAAATATCCTCCACCTTGGCTTATACCAGGCTGAGAAATCAGGAAAATATTGTACTCTTTCTCAAAGAATTTATCAGAATCCATTTAGACTCAGCATTTAATAAAGAGTAAGAAACCAAAAGAAAAAGAAAAGTACTAACAGAATAGGAGTATAGATTAAAAGTCAGGGTGGCAGGGAGAAAAATAACATCAGCAGAGTAACAGGAGATTATGTCAGATTCACTGCAGTCTAGAAAATAAGAAAGGGGAGAGGTGAGAGGTTTGCAGAGATGTTGGCAGAAGAAAAGTGACTGAGTAGCAAAATTAGCACTTCTCAGGCTTGGCTGTATAGATCAATGGTTGACTAAGACACCAGTATTTTCATTTCTAAGACACTAGGTAGCACTAGATGAGCAAAATGTTGGGTGTCTTAAGGCAACCATGCTACTTTAGGGAAACTGCAAGAAGCACTGGAGCTAAAACAAAATAGGCTCTATTTGTCTGCTGGTCTCAATGAAAGCTGTACATGAGATAAGGGGTCAATGAGATGGTGATTAAGTTCTGCACTTTCTATGTCTACATCCTAGACATCAGTGTGCTATTTTGCCAGGTCAATCATAGTGACATGGAATAATACTGTTGCAGCTCTACACTTCTTGACATGAATAAATGGAGAAATCATTTTTCTGGATAAGTTTTCAGGTAATCTGGACTTGAATCTTCTTTCTTTCCATTGTTGCTGGTCTAGACAATTTAATCTGATGAAGAGTTGCATTCATAAAGAAAATGGTAACATCTGAAAGATTAAAAGATGAAAGCTATACTGTAATTCTCTTATTTTCAATGTTATTTAGATTTTCTCCATGATGATCATTATCATCTATTTTCATAGTCATCATTTTTCTACTTGGGAAAAAGATCCTCAACCTATAATTTTACAATCATGGATTTTCATTTCATTTAATTTAAAAGCCATATCTTATAATGGGAATGAGTAAAATGGTACATAAAAAATAATTCACTGTAAAATACAAAAAAAGAGCCTCAGTGCTACACTCATTTATTGCAATGTATTTTGCATTATGTCCAGAGTATATTATTGCATGCTTTCTTCTGGATAAAAATAGCCAGAATTCATTCCTTTTGTTTATTTACCAAGCTAATTAAATTAATATTAATACTACTGTCATTTTAAAGGGCTAATTTGAACCATTCAAGGGGAAAAAAAGACAACGATAACAGGAAAAACAGGTCCATTTAACTTAGAAAATGTTCCTTCAAACATCATTAATCATGTTCCTTTTCTTTTGAACGTATTATTTGAATTTTATGCATTTAGATGTTATTGGCAGCATTCTAGCACACAAGTTAATAATTAAGTTTGTGAAAATAGAGCAATATCAAGTATAATTTGGAATCTATTACATACAAATCAGGAGTGAAGCTTTCATCTGTATAGATAATCGTATCCTGAGCCACGTCTTCTTCTGAAGTGGCTCTCCAAAATGCAGTCAGCTCGGATCTCATGTAACGACGCTGGTTATAAATATGTTCATGACAGGGTGGCATCTGTTTCACTGTATTAACATCCACATCTATGTGTGTAGTGGGATATGGGGCATACATGACTTGTCGGAAGGGAAGCACAAAACTTCCTGTGGAATCCTGTCACAGTAAAAGATAAATTAAACTTACTATGAAAATTTTAGATAAATTTCCCATGCTTTCAGGTTTTTTCAGGATTGTGATTTTTCCCTGTTCTATAAAATACTCATAAATAAACATGATGACAAAACTTTCCAAACAGCTACCAAAAGAGCCTATTATACTTCTTTTTAGTTATGACTCCCATTTTTGAAAAATTATCTTTTTTTAAGATAACTCCAGGGGCAGCTAAGTGGCGCAGTGGATAGAGCACCAGCCCTGGAGTCAGGAGGACCTGAGTTCAAATCTGCTTCACACATGATACTCACTAGCTGTGTGACCCTGGGCAAGTCACTTAACCCTGACTGCCTTGCAAAACAAAACAAAACAAACAAAAAACAATAACAAAGATAACTCCAACCATGCTCTTTCCATATCAATTCCATCTATCATACCCCAAATCCTTAATATTTAACTTATTAATAGATGAGACTTTTTTTTTTCTTACATGAGGGAAACTGACACATAAAGAGGAAGGGCATTACGCTATGCCTCAGGAGGCCTAGGTGCACTGTGTAGGTGCCTGTGGAAAAGTCACTTCACCTCTCTAAGAGTAAGGTTTTGATCTGTAAACATCCATTCATTCATTTAGCAATTACTGAATTAATATACTAAACTAAGCACTGTGGGGGATAAAGATATTATTGGATCAGGGGATTCAAAGCAGAAGGAGTCTTATAATTCATTTGGACCAATCCCCTCATTTGACAGATAAAGAAATATAAGCCCTAAGAGTTTTAAGAGACTTCACCAAGATCAAATAACTAATAAGTAGGAGAAACAGAATTTATATCCAGGTTCTCTGTCTCCAAATGCAATGGTCTTTTCTTTATACCATGCTGCTTCTTATGCCCTATGGTCTGGTGGGAGGGTTAGCCTGTTTATGCAACTAACCATAATACAATAAGAAGGACAAAGTGAGGTATAAAATGTAGTGTGGGTGTGGGTGTGTTGTTAGATGGGATTGAGATCAGGGAAGAAACAGCAACTGATCCAACCTTGAAGAATGAACAGGAATTGGGCAGGCAGAGATACACAGGAAAGAGAATGGATCAAATGATTTTTGAGGTTTCTTCCAGCTCTACAAGTCCTATGATTTTATGATCAGGAGAGACTACTAAAGAAAAAGCATTAAATTCTTCAACTGATTACTTTCCAAATGCGTATGTATCCTTATATTTTGGCAAATTTGTACAAATCAAGTTGGTGGTTTTATTGTTCTCAAGGAGTAGTCACTCTTTAAATTCTGTCATTGTGAGTACCCAGTATGATGCTTCTAAAAGTTTCCATGTGGGATAGGTACAATGTTATATATGCACTTGTTTTTTATTCTTTCCCCCTTCCCTTTTTTTTTTTTCATTTTGCCTTGTTTGTATCCTCAGGAAAGCAATCCTAGGACAGAATAAAGGGCTCAGAACAATATACAAGTTGTTATTTTTTATCTTATTGATAATTTCACCATGGTAAAAAAGATTCCAAGCAATAAACAATGGCACTGCATCTTAGATTATTCTACTGTAATTAAGCATCGAAATAATTACTTAAAGTTTAGGTCTATGATCCTTTATTGTTCACTCCATCCTTGAAATGCAGAAAAAGAGAGAAGTGAAATAAATTTAAAAATACAAATAGAAATTAAAATTTATATAGTAAACAGCTTTTTTTCTGTTAATATTCAAGGCGGTATAAACTTAAAAATAGCAAAACTACTAAGTTTGCTCAAGAAAAAAAATGAAATGTTCCAATTTGAGCTGTGTAAATTAATGGAAATTTTCTCTCAAATCAAAGAAATAAAATGAATTTACTTTTATAGTGGTTTTTGCAAGCTGGATATAACAAAAACACTGAGTAGTTGTAAGTAGTTATATGCGGAGTACTGATAGTAGGGTAAGCATACTGTGGTGTTCCACTGACTGTACAATCAACATATCCCAGGAGATATACTTTAGGCTGGTAACAGTGGTTTTGTAGAGACTACATTCCCTAGAATACATTCCACAATGAAATATATATATGTATATATATTTATTTATATCCTAACACATAAAATAGTAAATATTTTCAGTGAGTTTCCAAAATAATTTGGGATTTCATTTTGTAGAAAAGGGCACAGGCTGTACCTTGAGAAGACCTTGTACAAATAACCCGGATTCATACTTGAATGAAGACTCATTCCTACAAAGTCTGGAGCACTTTCGTTCTGAAGGAGTCAGAAAAAGGCACAATGTCCTCACTATCTGTAAAACAAGAGGATTTCAACAGGAAAAAAATATAAATATAATAAAAAGGTTTACTAAAGAAAGAAATCCTGACTAGAGATTTAAGTTTTATTTACTGATAAATAAATCCAAAAAGAGTACTATGTTTCGAATACTTAAATCTACTTCCAGTTGCCTCACCTGCCATGGCAAATTTTTTCAGACAAAAATCAAATTTTCTAGAAATATATAGCAAAGCTAGGTACATTGAAAGATCACTTCTGAGATTTATGCAAGTAAAGTCCAACTAAAAGGACCACCAAAGGGCTATCCTGGTCCAATGCTTTTTGTAGTATTGAAATTTTGTTCTATCAAATATTGGTTGAAAAAAATAGGCCACCGGCTAGAATTTAGAAATTTTTGTTGTGAGAAACAGTTACTGGAGCATGTTTTAGGCAGTTGACAGGGAGGTATTATTTCTGCATGGCTTTAATAGCCATAAAAAATAATTCAATGGGTTATTTCATTCCATTATTTTCAAAATGTTTGAATTGACTAATATATTGGTTCATTAACTGGTACTATAGAGAGTTTTAATAGTTCCATTAACTTCCATTTCCACTGACTTGTTCAAGTCATGAAAGGATGTGAGAGCCCTTGTCATCTGGGTTTGTTTTGAGATTTTCTGGGAACACTCTTTTCGCATTTCTTTTGAGCAAGGAAAGGTTGTACTCTCAATGAAAATTTACAAAGGATTATGTTGAAACTTTCCTGATTCACCTTAACATAGTGCCTGGCACACAGCAAACACTTAATAAATGGCTGTTGACCAATCCCTGCTGGTGCATTCTCTCTCAGATTACCTTATACCTAATTACTTTCAACAGGCAATCATATAATACTACTTTGCATTTATTCTCTTTTTATGTATTCTGTACAGACTATTAGAATATAAGCTCCTTGTAGTAGTAATTCATTCACTGTATTTAAATCCCTGGTTCCTGTCACATCATAGGCCCTTTATACTTGATTGACTTGAAACTGTTCTTTATTTAAAGTTATCAGTGATCTTAATTAATTACCAGATCTCATATTCTATTCTCAATCTTTGGATCTTGACCCCTTGGCTACATTTGACAATGCTGGCTACCCTTTCCTCTTAGATGCTCTTTCTTCCCTGAATTTTCATGATTTTTTTCTCTTGGTTGGCCTCCTAGTCAAGGAAAAGGATGAAGATGGTACTGCTTTCTTGGTTTGACCACTCTTCAATATTTTTTGATGATTTATCATCCATACCATACCCCTTACTGCCTACGAGATTTTTTTGAGTTGGATGTCCTATATGCTCAACTTGTTTAAAGCAGAACTCATGATATTTTCTCCAACCCCTCTTGTGAACCTCCCTATTTCTGTTAAGAATACAAACATTCCTCTAGTCACCTAGGTTCTCAACAATGGCATATTATTGGTCTTCTTACTTTCTCTCATCTCACATATCCAATTAGTTGACAGTGACTACTGATTCTAAGGGCAAAATTTTTGTTCATCTTTATTGCCTCCTTTTAAAATTTATACTGAGTTGTATAATGTATAGAATTATCAGGGGTATATTTGTAAAAGAACTTTTTTTGGCTAAGAGTGTTACAATCAAAAAAGTCTAAAGATCAGTAGACTTAGAAACTGAAGATAACGTCATCCTTTTAAATGAACATAACAATGTGAAACGGTCTTTTTGAAAACAGAAGCACTACATTTTTTTCTGGGGATATTATATTATTCTCATTGCCGTGAATAGCATGGATGCTGAAATTATATTAAAACTGAATTCTTCAACTATGGATTATTCACTTTGCATATTACTTGCAAATATTTCTTATCTTGAATTGGTTTCTTTTTAGCCACCAATATATACTTTTAGACCACTTCTGCCATCAATCCATATATGAATCAGAATCTAAAATAATTTCAATATTAATTTTTAAAAAATAAGTAGGAAGATAAGTGCTACTAAAAAGGAAAACAATACATTTCCAAACCAAATATGAATACCTGAATTACTAATGTGATTTTCTTCTTCCATTATTACAAATAAGCAGCTCTGAAAATGATTAAACTAACAGGTCTGATCCTTTTGTTCACTTCATTAGAATAAGAGAGAATGAGGGCAATCATAACAGCAATGATGCTATTTACACTCCAATTCTCCTCGGAGAATGTACAGGATAGATTAATTTTGGGCTCAAAGAAGCAGAAAAAAGGATTAGATGGAAGTGGGAAAGAGTAAGGAGAGGATTAAAAAAAAAGAATTAGAATGAGAGAAAGAGGAATGCAATAGGAAGGTGAGGAAATGTAAATGGATAAAGTAGAAGAAAGTATGGTAAAATGTCTAAATCTTAATTCCATTTATGTAATTTACACAGTCAACTAAAGATGATTTTCATGAAATATCAAACTGCAAATGGAAATGACTTCTCACTTTTTGTCATGGTACATGATAACAATTTGGTCAGACACTTGTGGTTTCCAAATGCTTTAGCAGCATATTAATTCCTATCTTTAAATTACTGTATGCAATATACTGACAATATTAAAGACTCTAATACAGGGTACTGAATGTAAAGTCACTTACCTTATTCACTTTATCTGCACTGCTACCTACTACTATAGAACAGCCGCAGGTCTGCAGGTGGGAACTGATGGCACTGTAAGTTAAATGAAGATTTACTATCTAAATAAGACAATTTTACACACTGAAAATCAAACAAAAAGCAAACCATAAAAATTATTTAATAGTAAAACCTTTAAATCATGATAAAACCCAAAGCTATAGTGTAAAATCCTGTAACTACTGCTGAGATAATCTCATGTCCACTTTTGCCATTATATGGACTTAAAATTTCTGAAATTTATGTGGATGGTGATTTAATTGGAAGATTATTAATTTATATATGATGATACAACAAAGAAAGGGGCCATAGAAGGTATTGACACAACTATTAAATTGAGAGCCAGGCCTTAGAAATCTTACTTAATGCTTTTGTACCTCAGTTTCTTCTACCAAACTGTGAATAATCAAAAGACATAAGCATCAAATAAAGATACACAGAAAATAAATGCCTGTAAACCACTTTCAGAGAAATAAGGGTGGTTTTTCCATCCTATTTTTTCCATCACCAAGATCTATATAGCTTGACATCATATACTAAAAACTAGTTGTCTTTTATGAAATGGAACAAAATTCTTACTTGAGAAGGAAACCTTCATGGCAACTATCCCCAATGTCATCATCATTTAGTACTGTATCACTTATCTAAAGTGCAAAGAAAACAAATTAGCCAGGTTAGAACACAGTATGGAAAGAATTTTTTTGCCCCTAAGATTTTAATCCAACATTTAGTAGATTACATAGTACCTAAGTACTTGAAAAATGCATGCTGATTAAGTTTTGTGGCATGAAGGTTTAAAAGAACATACTGTTGTCATTGCTTTGAATCAAAGAAAGCCACGAAATAATCATTGCTACGTTTAATAGTAAATCAGAAGCATGTTTGTGAAAGCTGGTCATGCAGGTTAGATGAAGTTCCATAAACATAGCTGACTCTGAGTTCTTAACCACATCCAAAGAAAGACAGTCTGACAGCCCTTAAAACTCAGAGTTAGATCAACAACAGTAACAATGGGAGTTCCCACACTGTCCTGTTTGGCTTCTTAGTGGTACTGCATTCTAACCAACCGAAGATTCTGAATTACCACTCTTTAAAAGCTTAAGAGATACTCTGAAATTTGAGAACAAAAATCTTCTAAATAAGAAGATTCAGATAAAAATTATCTGCACAGATTTAAACTGAAAAGTGCTTAATGCAGACTCTCAACAATAATCAAAGTGGCTGACTTATCGTGATGACTAAAGGACACTATAAATATCCGTATATGTATCATAAAGTCCGTAAGTGAACTCTAACATAATATCTGAATTGTATACTATCATTATAAAAACAAGTACTACATTATTAGAACTTTTGTGTTCCCAGAAAGTATATGAGTGGTAAAGTTAATATAGCTAATATGATACAAAAATGATTAATTTACATCGGTCAATTTAATTGCTAGAGACTTTTTTCCTTACAAAGATACTGCTTTATGTTAATAGTTTATCATTGGTATTTATTAATTAAAAGGTTTGCTAAATATGAAAAGGTACCACTGCTTTGACTTCACAATACAAATATGAACTTACATCTATTTCCTCAGGAACACTGTGTGATTTCATAGATGAAAGGAGTTCCATTACAAGAATAACCTCTCCAGTGAGCATTGGAATAATGCTCTGACCCTATACAATAAAGTAAAATGAGGTCAAAAAAAGACATGCAAAACAGGAAGATCTTGGTAATGAAACTATAACAATGAAAGCAAGGGATAAATGAGGTTTCTAGGATGGTGAGATGGCAGGAATACAAAAACCAATGCTTTCATTTGGTAGAAATGCTTGATAACATTAAAAAGAGTCAAATAAAACAAGTTTCCCACTCAAGGTTTTTAAAGGTTTATGTGCTAATCGAAGATATTTTAATTTTTCCAGAAAGTCTTTTCTAGTTACTAAATTTGTCACATACTGCCAACTATGGCTTATCATACACTGCCAAACGTCATTATGTGAACTGCCTGGTTTAAAATTAATATTTCTAATTTATTACTTGAGATATAAAAAATTAATTAAAAGGACATCTACTGCTTTCCACATTTTATAGCTAGGAAAGCTAAAAGACAGCATAATCTGTAAATCTTTTTATCAGTAATTTCAAATAGTGCAGCCTAGACTCATACCAGGACCCTTACGACTGCTAATAAAATATTCTTTCTACAAACAAAAGGAAGCTTACACATAATCATATGAATTTTAAGAATAAAGAAATTATCCTCTGTCTCAAGATAACATTTCTCATTAGTACAGGTCAAAGCTAGAGTTTTCAAACATGCTTCCTCTTGAACCAAAGGGAAACATTTATCTTTTACCATGTCTCAGACATTTAATGTAAATGGTCTCAGCGTGGGGATTTGGGCCCTGACATTGAACAAATTATCTAAAACTTACCCTACAGAAAAAGAAGAATAAAGGTGACAAAGTGTTCACCTGTAGTTGATATTATTCCCACACTGATTGTCCCACCACTCCCCACTCTTGATTTGTGTCTTAGATTCTACTTTATGGGTAAAATGATTGAATAGATTCCTTTAGTTTTGTAGAAACTGCTTAATTTTTTCCCCACAAAGGTTCTTTTATGATTCCTGGAAGCTCACTAATTCCATTTGTTATTAATTAGGTCAACCAAAAGAACCACCAGACCCCCCCCCCCCAAAAAACCTCTTTAATACACTAGCATTTGATGGCATATACATTCTTCTTACCTGATCTTCCATTCTTTCTGTTCCTTCTAATACAATCTTCTGGACATTCTCCTGCCTCTCCTGGGCAAAAAATGTGCTTAATTTAGAGCAGTGTTAGTATTTACATATTCATATAAACAAAGGTCAATTGGTAAGATATTTTAGGTGAAATTTCACTTCATAAATTCTCGAGACTGATATAAATGATTTCCCTTTTCTGGGCACAAATGGGAGGTATAAGGGACTATGCTAAGAACTATTATGGTCCCACAGATAAGGAAAGAACAAAACAAAAGTATGCTTTACTTTCTGGTTAAAAACAAACAAACAATAAAAAAACCAGGTCACTTTAGCAAAAATATTAAGCTAAACTTTAATTATTCATAAAATAGTGACTTATACTTTCCTAAATGAACAAGATAAAAGTTAGATCTAACAGATATAGCTGAATAGTGAAAACCAACTCTTATTAAGAAAAACAAAACAAAACAAAAACAAACAAACATGTTTTCCTTTGTCATCTAGCAAAAGATTTAATAAAACTGTAAGGAACTTCACAAAGTAAAAATATAAACTCCTATCACCTCCTATCCCCCACTGAGTTCCCAATCCTCTACTTGTAGTGAGGGAATTGGCATACTCCTTGCTCTCTGCTGCTATTTCTAGACTCTCTCCTCTATCATCATAATTCAGCACTCTCTCCTCCCCTTTTGGGTCTACACTATTCAATTCATTGTCTAACAGAAGTATAAGGGATTAAGAAAAGGTGGCAAGAATACATCAAAGAACTATATAAGAAATATCTTAACATCACTGATAACCATGTAGTGTGGTTACTGATCTACAGTCATATATCTTGGAGAACAAAGTCAAGTGAGTCTTAGGAAGCATTGCTAACAATAAAGATAGTGGAGGTGATGGAATTCCAGCTGAGCTATTTAAAATTCTAAATGATGATGTTATTAAAATTTTGTATTCAATATGCCAGCAATTTTGGAAAACTCAACAGTGACCACTGGATTGGGAAAGATCAATTTGTGTCCCAATCCTAAAGAAGAGCAATGCCAAGAAGTGTTCAAATAACCAAACAATTGTACTCATTTCACATGCCAGCAAGGTTACACTTAAGATTCTACAAGTTAGGCTTCAGCAATACCGAGAATTTACCAGAAGAGCAGGCTGATTTTCAAAGAGGCAGAGGAACCAGAGACCAATTGACAACATTCGTTGGATTATGGAGAAAGCAAGAGAGTTTCAGAAAAATATCTACTTCTGCTTCACTGACTACACTAAAGACTTTGTGTGAATCACAACAAAATGTGGAAAGTTTTCAAAGAGATAGGAGTACCAGATCATCTTGTTTGTCTCCTAAGGAACCTGTATGCAGGCCAAGACGCCAGTCAGAACCAAACATGGAACAACTGATTGGATTAGGACTGGAAAAGGAGTAGGACAAAGCTATATATTGTCACCTTATCTAATTAACTTTTTTGCAGAATACATCAAGTGAAATGGAAGGCTAGTTGAATCAAAAGCTGTAATTAAAGTTAACATGACAGAAAAGGAAAATGATAAATGTTAAAAAGAATTATGGAAAAATTGGGACACTAAGATGCTGTCGGTGGAGTTGTGAACTGATCCAACCATTCTGGAGAGCAATTTGGAACTATGCCCAAGAGCTATAAAACTGTGCATACCCTTCAATCCATCAATGCCACTAGGAGGTTTGTAGCCCAAAGAGATCACAAAAAAGGGAAAAGGACCTATGTGTACAAAAATACGTATAACAACTCTTTTTGTGGTGGCAGAGAATTGGAAATCAAGGGAATGCCCATCAACTGGGGAATGGCTGAACAAGTTGTGGTATATGAATGTAATAGAATACTACTATGTTATAAGAAATGAGGAGCAAGTATCATCCCAAAGAGATCATAAAAATGGGAAAAGGACCCACACATACAGAAATATTTATAGCAGCTCTTTTTTTGTGGTAGCAAAAAACTGGAAATTGAGGGGATGCCCATCAATTGGGGAATGGCTGAACAAGTTGTGGTATATAAATGTAATGGAATACTATTGTGCTATAAGAAATGACGAGCTGATTGACTTCAGAAAAACCTGGAAAGACTTGTATGGACTGATGCTGAGTGAAGTGAGCAGAACCAGGAGAACATTGTACACAGCAACAGCCACGTGGTGTGATGACTAACTTTGATAGACTTAGCTCTTCTTCGCAATGCAACGATCTAAGACATCTACAAAAGTCTCATGATGGAAAATGCTATCCACATCCAGAGAAAGAACGAGTTTGGATGCAGATCAAAGCATACTATTTGCTCTTTTTTTTTCCTTCTGTTTTGTTTTCTTTCTTCTTGTGGTTCCTCCTATTGGTTCTAATTCTTCTTTACAAATATGTTTAAATAGGAATGTATATGTAGAGCCTCTATCAGATTCTATGGCATTTTGGGGAGGGAGGTAGAGAAAATTAAAAACTCAAAAGCTTATGGAAGTGATTGTTGAAAACTAAAAATAAATAATAAAAAAAAATGACGAGCAAGTGTAGTGGATTTCAGAAAAACCTGGAATGACTTACATGATCTGATGAAAAGTGAAGCAAGCAGAAACAGAAAAACACTGTACACAGTTAGCAGCAACATTATGCCATGATCAACTATGAACAACTTAGCTCTTCTAAGCAACACAATGATGTAAGACAATTCCAAAAGACTCATGATGGAAAATGCTGTCCACATTCAGAGAATGAACTGATGAAGTCTGAATGCAAATCAAAGCACACTATTTTCACTTTATTTTTTTTGTGGTTCTTTTGGCCTGTTTGTTTTTCATAACATGACTAATATGAAAATATGTTTTACAGGACTGTACATAAACAACCTATACCATTTTAGGGAGGGAGTGGTGAGGGAGGGAGAAAATTAAGAACTCAAAATTTTTTTGAAAAATGAATACTAAAAAATATCTTTACATGTAATTGGAAAAAATAAAAAAAGAAATATTAACAATCTCAGATATGCAGACAATGCCACTCTGATGGCAAAAAGTGAATTAGAATTAAGAAGCTTCTTGATGAGAGTAAAAGAGGAGAATGTAAAAGCTGGTTTGAAGCTTAACATAAAAAAAATAAATAAATAAAATCATGGCAACTGGTCCCATCACATCCTGGCAAACAGGGGGAAAAGAAATGGAAGTAGTGTCAGATTTTATATTCTTGGGCTTGAAGATGACTGCAGAAGGAGACTGCAGCCATGAATTTAAAAGACATTTGCTCCTTGGAAGGAAAGCTATGACAAATCAGGACAACATACTAAAGAGCTGAAACATCACTTTGTTGACAAAGGTCCATAGGATCGAAGCTATGATTTTTCCAGGAGCAATGTATGGCTGTGAGATCTGGACTATAAGGAAAGTTGAGCAATGTAGAATTGATGCTTCCAAATTATGATGCTGGAGAAGACTCTGAGAGTCCCTTGGACTGCAAGGAGGTCAAATCAGTCAACACTTAAAGTAATTAATTCATACTATTCACTGGTCAAATACTGAAGGTGAGGCTTAAATACTTTGGCCACATAAGAAGGACTCACCAGAAAAGACCCTGATATTGGGAAAGACTGAAGGCAAAAAGAGATGGGAATGGCAGAGGATGAGATGGACTAATGGTGTCATAGAAGCAACAAACATGAGCTTGGACAGACTTCAAGATAGTGGAGGATAGAAGGGCCTGGTGTGCTACAGTCCACAAGGTCAGGAAGAGTCGGACATGACTGAACAATAACAACAAATCTAGATCCTGGAGGATATTATCTATTGAGCCCTCCCAAGACATTCTCCTTCCTTCATCCCTCAGTGAGTTCAGTGTCTGCTGGACTTCCAGTCCTCCTCTGACTTGAACTCCTGCCCTCAGACTAGGGGCCTTAAATGTATATATTGTTGATGCTCTGTTAAATTCTTTAACTTCCAAGTTCTTGAATCTACTCAATTCCCATGATCTCCTTCCTCCTCCTCCTCCACTCTTAACTCAAGTTACACATAGAGACAGTCAAACCCTTGAACTTGTCACTACCTATAAGTATTCCATTTCTACTTTCATGAACTCTGGAACTCTTATTTGATGATAATCTTTAGTCATTCCATCTTTCCCTATGCCTTATGACCTCCAACCCTATTCAACCTCGCTGTGACCTCCAATCCTTCCAGTCTCCCAGTTTTCACCAGTCATCACCCTTGAACTGTCTATACACCTTCCTCCCTTTCCTATCCTAACCCTATGTTCAATTCCACACTACCCTCTGCATTTAAACCTCTTACAACCTTAAAACTAATCTTGCCTTGCCAAATGATTACTCCCATATTCTGCTTCCATTGCTCCTAATGTGTTGCTGAGATGGAGCTGGAGGATATTACAAAATCCTACTGTCTAGTACACTATAAATTTATGTTATCTGATCTCACCTTGGTCTTCAATGTAGCAAAGTAATTTATATATCTTCCTAATCAATTTGCAATCTCACTCGCTATAGCAGGTTTTCTAAACATTCTCATGGTTCCTCAAGCTTCCCTCTGTACCCTCTCTCTCTACCATCTCAGTTAAGAATGTTTTCATTATATTCTTGACCAAAAAAACTGAGGCCATTTGCTAAGAGCTCCCTCTTTTCCCTTCCTCATCAAATCTCACTCAGTTATTTTTTTCCACTATCACTTCCTCTAACATGAAGGTGGTCTTCTCATCTATGCAAATTCCTCTACATGTATCCTTGTACCCATTCTTTTCTTTTTTTCAGACAGACAGATCCTCCCTCCCTTTCCCTCTCTCTTTTTCCCTTTTCTCATTCTGCCAAGATAAAATCAACTTGGAAACTCATGCCTCCTCAGTATTTCCTGCCCTTGGGGTGCCTGTTTCTCTCAGATTGGAGAGGGTGGAGGATGAACACTGAAGAGCTTCTCAGATCCTCTATGTCATCCACATTTAAAGATGGCACCCCAGCAATTCCCATCACTTCCCACCCAAGTGCGTCTTTGATTTCATTATCATCAGAAACTCGTCATTTTGCAAGACCAACTCA